CCTGGGACATCGCTGGTTAACCAGGACTGCTTAGGCTTGGGCTAGTTTGCAACTGTTGAAAGCTTCAAGAGTGAACACTTACCTGGTTTCTAACTGTAGCAAACAGCAGTATTGGTCCTACTTCAAAGAACTATTGATTGCCCTTTTGATCTTTATACTGCCTGGTCGCTGTTGTACTTGTGTGTCCTTTCTCTCTACAAATAGAAAATATTACCTAAGTGTGCCTAGGTGGCTACTTTGAATTAGTACTTTCCTTCCTTTTTAACATAAAAGATAACTTTGATTTGTTTTTTGTTTGTTTTCAGCCCCATCTGTTTTGATATGATTGAAGAAGCCTACATGACAAAATGTGGACACAGCTTCTGGTAAAGTTTTTCTTTTTATTGTACAAGATGTTGATTTCTTACAGTGTCTGTGGACTGATGTTGCTGTGAATCCTTTCTTTATGAGGTTTTTTTTTTTTTTTTTACTTTTCTGTCTTCTGTCCCTGCACTGAAGAAGGAGATTGAAATAAAATTTTAGAAGATGGGTACCAGTTAGATTAAAAAAAAAAAGTTTTCTTTGTGTTTAAAACAAAAAAATATGCCACTGTATTTCCTTGGCACAGAAATAAAATGACTATAAAATTCTGGTAGCGTCAAGTGCATGAAGTTAGAGCTTGTCAACTTATCTCTATTGGTCCCACCTCTGTAGAGGTCATGGGGGCGAGTGTTGGTGTTGAGAGGTTCTCTCTGACTTTGTGCAAGACCATATACTTTAGTTGGAACTGGCTTACGCATTCTCTGTTGCCATTCTCGAACTTTACAAGAATATATTCTTCAAGCATGTTTCTGTTGTACTGAAGTGGCCCAAGGTCCGCTTATATTTCAGCGTGTTATTTCTGGCTGTCATGAGGAGCAAATGTTTGGTGAAGTACAAGAACCCTCCCAGGACAGATGTGGAACTAGGGATTGGAGTAAATGTTGAACCATGATTTTTTTTATGTCTTATGTATGTTGTGCTGTTATGGTCTCTGCTAACTAGAAATAAATTGCCTACCTTTTACAAAAAGTAGTATTTTAGTAGCATAAAGCACTTTCTCAAGCAGATTTGGTTAACTTTCAAAAATGTTTTGACCTGCAACAGGTAAGATTGTGTGCCCTCCGTGGTAACACTTTATCCTGAGATCCTTACCTTTTTTAGAAGTCTAAGATGAGAAGCTTTCAAATATATTTATTTAGAAAGAGCAGAGCAATGTTGCCCCATGATGCCTCTACCAGCAGTGACATCAGGCCGGGTTCTTAGTGAGATGCTTACACCTCATGCTAAAGTGCATCTCATAATGACTCTGTCTGTCAAATAGCAAACAGCTCGGCAGAGAGCACATCTGCAGTCACTTCTGGTGAGAACAGCCACGGTGTGGCTCAATTACCCAAAGTGTGTAATACCTGATAGTGTCACAAGTATTTGGCTAATCTAGGAGAGTTCCTTCTGAATAATTCAGTCTGTTAGCTCTACCTGTGGAAGGCAGGGCATGAATGTGAGATGGAAGTCTGACTGAAGTATCCAGGTTGCCACAGTGCTCAGGGAAATGAGTGAAGTACTTAAATACCTTTTGTAATCCTTGCCAAGAAACTTTGCTGTCCTACTGCTACAGCGTGCTCCGAGTTACTGGTGGAATGTTTGGCCTCTGCAGTAGGATCTTGGCAAGGCAGCTGTTAGCTGGCAGCAGAGAGTACACATTATCTAAGGTTGATATTATTGACCTGTGCTTATGTTTGGTTCCTTCATGTTTGCTCACTTGTTTTGTTTCTTGGCTTGTGTGGGTTTTTTTATGTTTTGAAACAGCTATAAATGTATTCACCAGAGCTTGGAGGACAATAACAGATGTCCCAAATGCAACTATGTCGTGGACAACATAGATCATCTTTATCCCAACTTCTTAGGTGAGCTCTCGGCTTGTTTGCATGAGAAACATCTTAGCTGTTAAGGAAGGCAATCACTTGTAAATTTGTCCAGCTCCTGGATATTGAAAATATGAGCGAAACATCAGCCGGTTGGTTAACTGTGTGTTTTATTAAGGAAAGAGT